CCCCCCCCTACTGGACATATTCCAGTGATACCTGAGCGTTGTGTCGGTAATGAAGATATAGTACACTAGACTCGGGACCGAATATAATTATGCATTACACGCGGAACGTATGGGTGAGCATAATTACGTTATATTTTATAACACATATAACATTATCGTTATTGTCAGCCGCGATTCCCAGAGGCCGTTAAAATTTTCCGTATATTTCTCGTCTCGCGTTAAATTATACACAGCTTGGGTCGATAGATCAGCACTGATTGTGCACGTTCGAAGCGCTTTGCATAGTAATAGTATTTATCCTGAAGGTTCGCGAACGGCGGATGCGGATGTCTCTTGGTAAAAACGTATACAGAAAATCTTCAGGAAGTATCCGACATTATATCGATTCTAAACACAATTTCAGACGACACTCGCCGTAATAGAAATTTTAATGAAAAGATCACAACTTTAAGTACATCATATACCCTCGCACAGTGAGGACTAAATGAACGTAATTTCTGATTAAAAAAATGACTATGAAAAATAATGTCAAATGCAAGGCAACCAAATGTCTTATCCACTCTCTCTTGTCACTTGCGGTTCCAATCTCTTTCATTTTCCATAAACGACGCTAACGGACTCATTCGCTTTTCTCTCTCATTTTTTTTTTCAAATTCGCCCCCTTGGTGTCACTTAATAACTAATTTTACTTCTACATACTTGTCAGTCACGTGAAAATGGAGTCGCTTTCATTAAAGAAGAGCCAACTGCCGTCGACGTAGAAAACTCTGAATGGCGACGAAATCTCGAGGACCCAATGCAGTTGGATGCAGGTTGAGGCAGAAAAGCCTGCAAGCCGAGGACGCTAGAAAACGGGCGGATATTCAAGGCGACTTCTTACGAGCTGCGAAAGAGTCAAATTTGATTTTCCCTTTTGAACTGCCAATAGAAATTAAGACTCGAAGGGAAGAGGACCGACATCCCTAAGAACTGGGAAAATTGGTGGCGGTTGGCGACGGGAAGGTTGAATCTCGAATCGTTTCCGAATCAGCTAGGTAGGTGCTGGTGAACGTGAACCTCGGAAAGCACTCGAACGGGGGGCTGCGGCGGCGGC